CAGAATTGTATTGAGGGACACAGAATTGTTACTGAGGGCCACAGAACCGTTACTTAGGGCCACAGAATTGTTACTTAGGGCCACAGAAACGTTACTTAGGGACAGACACAGAATTGTTACTGAGGGATACAGATTTGTTACTGAGGGCCACAGAAACGTTACTTAGGGCCACAGAAACGTTACTTAGGGCCACAGAATCGTTACTTAGGGCCACAGAAAACGTTACTTAGGGCCACAGAATTGTTACTGAGGGGACAGACACAGAATTTGTTACTGAGGGCCACAGAATTGTTACTTGAGGGCCACAGAACCGTTACTTAGGGCCACAGAAACGTTTACTTAGGGCACACAGAAACGTTACTTAGGGCTACAGAAACTTTACTTAGGGCCACAGAATCGTTACTTAGGGCCACAGAATCGTTACTTAGGGACACAGAAACGTTACTTAGGGCCACAGGAAAATTTTTACTTAGGCCACAGAATTGTTACTTAGGGACAGACAGACACAAATTGTTACTGAGGGATACAGAATTGTTACTGAGGACACAGAACCGTTACTTAGGGCCACAGAAACGTTACTTAGGGCCACAGAAACGTTACTTAGGGCCACAGAATCGTTACTTAGGGCCACAGAAACGTTACTTAGGGCCACAGAATTGTTACTCAGGGACAGACACAGAATTCTTATCAGGGACAGACACAGAATTGTTACTCAGGGACACGAATTGTTACTGAGGGACACAGAAATTGTTACTTAGGGACCACAGAATTGTTACTCAGGGACACACAAAATTGTTACTGAGGGACACAGAATTGTTTAACTGAGGGAACAAGAATTGTTACTCAGGGACAAACACAGAATTGTTACCTCAGGGACACAGAATTGTTACTGAGGGCCACAGAAACGTTACTTAGGGCCACAGAAACGTTACTCAGGACACAGAATTTGTTACTCAGGGACAGGACACAAGAATTGTTACTCAGGGACAGACACAGAATTGTTACTGAGGGAACAGAATTGTTACTGATGGACACAGAATTGTTACTGAGGGACACAGAATTGTTACTGAGGGCCACAGAACTGTTACTTAGGGCCACAGATATAACGTTTACTCAGGGACACAGAATTGTTAATCAGGGACAGACACACAGAATTCTTACTCAGGGACAGACACAGAATTGTTACTAGAGCGGACACAGAATTGTTACTGAGGGGACACAGATGAATTGTTACTGAGGGCCACAGAATCGTTACTTAGGGCCACAGAAACGTTACTTAGGGCAACAGATAACGGGTTAACTTAGGGGACACAGAATATTGTTAGAAAGGAATCAGGGGACCGGTAGTGAGGGAAATTGTTACTCAGGGACAGACACAGAATTCATACTCAGGGACAGACACAGAATTCTTACTCAGGGACCAGACACAGAATTGTTACTCAGGGACACAGAATTGTTACTCAGGGGACACAGAATTGTTACTGATGGGACACAGATTTTGTATACTGAGGGACACAGAATTGTTACTCAGGGACACAGAATTGTTACTGAGGAGAAAAGAATATGCAGTTACTGAGGGGAACACAGAATTGTTACTGAGGGACACAGGAATTGTTAACTCAGGGACAGACACAGAATTGTTACTCAGGGACAGACACAGAATTGTTACTGAGAGAAACAGAATTGTTACTGAGGTCCACAGAACTGTTACTTAGGGCCACATAAACGTTACTCAGGGACACAGAATTGTTACGTACGTCAGGGACAGACACAGAATCTGTTGTTACTCCAGGGGACCAGACACAGAATGTGTTACTGAGAGGACACAGAATTGTTACCTCGAGGGACACAGAATTGTTACTTAGGGCCACAGAAAACGTATCTCAGGGACTACAGAATTGTTAATCAGGGGGACAGACACAGAATTCTACTCAGAGGACAGACACAGATTTGTTACTCAGGGACACAGAATTATTACTGAGGACTCACAGAATTGTTACTGCGATACCCGGCCACAGAATCTCGTGTACTTAGGGTCTGGCAGAAACGTTACTTCAGGGCCATCATAAACTGCTACTCTAGGGCAACAGAAACGTTTTTTTTTTTTTTAAAAACCTTAAGGGGACAAAAAACAACAGAATTGTTACTCCAGGTCAGACAACAGAATTCTTACTCAGGGTACAGACACCAGAATGCCTGTTTACTCAGGACACAGAATTGTTTACTACTGGACACAGAACCAAAAACAAACTGAGGAAACACAGAAAAAAAAAAACCCAGAAAAAACACAAATAATATTACTCCTGTGGACAGACACAGAATTGTTTACTCGGGGACACAGAATCGTTGATTAAAAGAGTATGTCAGACAACATGCACAGGAGTGGCTCAGGAACAGTGCAACTGTTTTAGGTCACAAGCGGCAAATAGGTACGTGAGGCAGCAGAGGAAAGGGGTCGAGCAGCCACGATATTACCTCAGTCTCCCAGCAGGCCAGTGCTCCCGTGTGTCAACAAATTGTTACAGTGAGGGAACGAGCTAACAGATGGGCAACTCCAAAGGAACTGGGGGAGACATCCGACCACTATCAGCATCCCAGGCAAAGACAAGTAGTGGCTCAGGAGAGTGGCTTGGTATCCTGGTCCTAGAGACAATTGTCTGTATCCATGACCCAACTGGCCACTTCAGTCTCAGCACACGACTGGGCCATAGTATGTTGAGGTCGTGAGACCAGTAATTGGTGATGATGAAGAGGCTGTATCGCATTGCACTGCCTTCGTCGTCAATCAGCAATGGTTGTTCAGACGCACTCATCAGGAGAAGGAGGGTGGCAGCTGCAGCGAGCAAAACAGTCAGTGGGTTGTCTCCATCGCCACCTCTGCCATGTCCACTTTCAGGTCGCCTCACACACTGCTGGTGTTTCCATTTTTTCGTCATAGGGTGCTGGCAGATTACGGAGCCTTCCATAGCTGCTGCCAGGGCCCTCTGAAACCCTACAGCCACGTTCGGGGCCCCTTAACCAACCCTCCTCATGCTGGCTGCCCCGAGCATGCCACAGTGTCTCATGCCATTGTGCCGTCTTTCAGGTCTCCTCACACCGCTGGTGGTGTTCCATTTTTGTCATAGGGTGCTGGCAGATTACGGGCCTCCACATTGAAGCAGAGAAGCTGCTGCCAGGCCCCTAATCTGCCATGGGGCCCCTCGTACGCGCCTCCTCATGCTGCTGCGAAGTCCACTAGGTACCGTCTCATGGGTCCCTGTACGGCCGTCCCATTGCAGCTGTATCCATCGCCATCACTCTGCCATGTGCCACTTGCAGGTCTACCTCACACACTGCTGGTGTGTTCATCATATTTTTTTGCATCATCAGGGTGCTGGCAGATTACGGGCTCCCATAGCTGCTGCCAGGCCTTAATCTTGCCATGGGCCCCTATAACCGCCTCCTCATCTGCTGCTGCCAAGTCCAGAGTCTCTCATGGGTTCCCTGTACGGCCTCCCATATGCCTGCTGTCTCCATCGCCACACTCTGCCATGTGCCACTTTCAGGTCTCCTCACACACTGCTGGTGTGTTCCATTTTTGTCATAGGGGTGCTGCAGATTACGGCCTCCCATAGCTGCTGCCAGGCCCCTAATGACAGGGCCCGCTATAGCACACCTCCAGCAGCATGCTCGCTGGCCAGGTCCAAGTGTCTCATGGGTCCCTGTACGCCCTCCCATTGCTGCTGTCTCCATCGCACACCAACTCTGCCATGTGCCACTTTCAGGTCTCCTCACACTGCTGGCGTGTTCCATGTTTTTTGGGCCCATGAGGTACTGGCAAATTACCCGGTGCTGGGAGATTCGTCTGCCAGCTCCCTTAATCTGCCAAGAGCCCATAGACCAGCTGCCTTCCCTTGCCTGCCAATCGAATGTCTCAATGGGTCCCCTGTGACCGCCCTCCCCATGCTGCTGCTCCAGGTTCCACAGTGTCTCATGCCATGTGCCACTTTTCAGGTCTCCCCACACTGCTGGTGTGTTCCATTTTTTTGTCATAGGGTGCTGGCAGATTACAGGCCTCCATAGCTGCTGCCCAGGCCCCCTAATCTGCGCATGGGCCCCTGTAAACCGCTCCTCATGCTGCTGCAAAGTCCAGAGTCTCTCATGGGTCCCCTGTTAACGGGTTCTCCCATTGCTGCTGTCTCCATCGACCACACTCTGCAATGTGGCCACTTTCAGGTCTCTCACAACGACTGTGGTGTGTTCCATTTTTTTGTCATAGGGTGCTGGCAGATTACGGCCTTCCCATTGCTGCTCGCAGGCCCCTATATCTGCCATGGGCCCAGTACCGCCTCCTCATGCTGATCTGCCAGGTCCACAGATGGTCTCATCATGGTCCCTGTAATACGGCCACCCCATTGCTGCTGTCTCCATCGCCACACTCACACTCGCCATGTGCCACTTCAGGTCTCCTCACACTGCTGGTGTGTTCCATTTTTTTTCATAGTGCTGGCAGATTAACGGCCTCCCATAGCTGCTCGGGCACCCGAATCTGCCAGGCCCCTACTCGACCCTCCCGCATGCTGCTGCCAGGTTCCAGATTCTCATCATGGGTCCTGTATAACTCGCCTCCTCATGCTGTCGCTTCTCCTTATCGCCACACGCTCCATGTGCCACTATTCAGGTCTCCTCACACTGCTGGTGTGTTTCCATTTTTTTGTCATAGGTGCTCGGCAGATTACGGGCCTCCCATAGCTGCTGCCAGGCCCCTAATCTGCCATGGGCCCCCTATAGCCCGCCTCCTCATGCTAAGCTGCGAAGGTCCAGAGTCATCTCATGGTCCCTGTACGGCTCCTATTGCTGCTGTCTCCATCGCCACACTCTGCCATGTGCCACTTTCAGGTCTCCTCACACACACTGCTGGTGTGTTACCATTTTTTGTACTATAGGGTCGCAGGCAGATTACGGGCCTCCCATTGCTGCTGCCAGGCCCCTAATCTCCATGGCCCCCAGTACCCGCATCCTCATGCTGCTGCCAGGTCCACAGATGTCTCATGGGTCCTTGACGGTCCATCTCCCATTGCGCTGCTGTCTCCAACACCACAACTCTGCCATGTGCCACTTTCAGTCTCTCTCACTACTGCGCAGGTGTGTCCATTTTCTGTCATAGGTGCTGCATATTACGGGCCTCCCATAAGCTGCTGCCCAGCCCCTAATCTGCCATGGGCCCCTGTATACCGCCTCCTCATGCTGCTGGCCATAGGTCCAGGCAGTGTCTCATGCCATGTGCCACTTACGCAGGTCTCCCTCACACACTGCTGGTGCGTTCCATTTTTTTTGACATAGGGTGCTGGCAGATTACAGGGCCTCCCATCAGCTGCTCCAGGGCCCCTACACTGCCACTGGGCTCCCTGTACCACCTCCTCTATGCTGCTTGCATAGGTCCAGGCAGATGTCTCATGCCATGTGCCACTTTCAGGTCTCCTCACACTGCTGGTGGTGTTCCATTTTTTTGTCATAGGGTTTGCTGGCAGATTACGGGCCTCCCATTGCTGATTGCAGGTCCCTAATCTGCATGGCCCCTATACCGCCCCTCCTCATTGCTGCTGCGAAGTCCAGAGTCTCTCTCATGGGTCCCTGTACGGCCTCCCATTGCTGCTTCTCAATCGGGCCACACGGCTGCCATGTGCCAATTCAGGTCTCCTCACAACACTGCTGTGTTCCATTTTTTGTTCATAGGGTGCTGGCTGGATTACTGGGCCTCCATTGCTGCTGCCAAGCCCCTAATCTGCCATAGGGCCCAGATAGAACTGCCTCCTCATGCTGCTGTCCAGGTCCACAGTGTGTCATGGTCCACCTGTACTCGGCCATTCCCATTGCTAGCTGTCTCCACATCGCCCACACTCTGCCATGTGCCACATTTCAGGATGTCTCCTCACACTGACTGCTGAGTGTGTTCCATTTTTTTGTCATAGGGTGTTGGCAGGATTACGGCCTCCCCATAGCTGCTGCCATGTCCCTCCCCGACTCCTAGTCTTCCACCCGCCATGGGCCCCTAACCCGCTACCTTCCTCCTCATGCTGCAGCCTAAGGTCCAGAGTGTCTCATGGGTCCCTGTACGCCTCCCATATCTGCTGTCTCATCGCCACACTCTTAACCCATGTGCCACTTTCAGGTCTCCTCACACTGCTGGTGTGTCTCCATTTTTTAGTCATAGGGTGCTGGCAGATTACGGGCCTCCTACATAGCTGCTGCCAGGCCATTTAAATCTGCCATGGGACCCTGTACCGACCTCCTCATCGCAGCCAGTCGCTGCTGCCAGGTTCACAGTGTTCTCATGCCATCGCCTACACCGTGCCACTTTCAGGTCTCCTCACACTGCGTGGTTGTGTTCCAAGTTTTTTGTCATATGGTGGGCTGGCAGATTACGGGCCTCCCATAGCTGCTGCCAGGCCCCTAATCAGCCATGGGGCCCCTATACCGCCTCCTCATAGCTAGCTGCGAAGTCCATGGAGTCTCTCATTGGTCCCTGTACGGCCTCTCAACCATTGCTGCTGTCTACATCGCCACAATCTGTCATGTGCCACGTTTCAGGTTCCTCCACACACTGCTGGGAGTTCAATTTTTTTGACATATGGGTGCTGGCAGATTACGGGCCTCCTATAGCTGCTGCCAGGCCCCTAATCTTGCCATGGGCCCCTATACCGCCTCCTCATGCTGCTGCGAAGTCCAGAGTCTCTCATCCGGTCCCTGTACGGCCTCCCATTGCTGGCTGTCTCCATCGCCACACACTCTGCCAATGTGCCACTTTCAGGTCTGTCCTCACACACTGCTGGTGAGTGTTCAATTTTTGGACATAGGGTGGCTGGCAGATTACGGCCACCCATAGCTGCTGCCAGGCCCCTAATCTGCCATGGTCCCCTATACCGCCTCCTCAATTGCATGCTGCCAGGTCCAGGCGAACTCAGTCACACAGGGATTTGAACTCTCCTCAGTGTAATGTTGAACAGAGAAAGCTAGGAATAGATGGCTAGCTCTGCCACTCGCAAACTGAAAATCGGAACCATCAGTTGACCGACACCGGAAAGAACATGGGTGTCTGCCTATCTCGCCAGGTCAGGAAGGTTGTCTTGCCCATGCGCCCATGCATGGCGTCACGTGTTTCAAACTGGTTGTCAGCGGTTTCCTTAATATCCCACCATCCCACTGCAAGGACATCCTGTATAAAATGTTCACGTAAACCCTTGCATGCATTGTCAGCCATTCCTACACCTGCAAAGCACACCCTCATTGAGACAGCAGCGGCAGACGGAATTTCCACAGCATCGCCATGCATCTGCGACGTTGCATACAAGTGGAATTCAAAACCCTACACATGGTAGACCGCCTTTACGATCACGAAAGGCCATCACCGATTTCATGATGTTACAAGCGGTTATAAAGGTACTCCCTGTGTTAACATCAGATGTCAAACGCCAATTGGCAGCTCAATGCGTGGACACCTGCGCGTGCTCAGGCCCTTTGAGGAGGCCACCGCTATTCGTGAGTCGGCTGGACTTATGGGATGAACGACGTCAATCCTCTGTTGCTAACGTCCTTGAACAAAATGCTGTTAACAATGGCAGGTCAGGGTTGCGTAGACGTGGCCGCACAGATCTTCAACGCCACATGACCCCTGTGGGGGCAGGACAGGAAGAAGTGGAGGAGCGGGTTTTTTTTTTTTAGAGGAAGGACATTTGTTGCTCAGGCAATTTATGAGTGAAGATGTGAGTGGTTTTTTCCACTCCAAGCGGACAGTAGTGGAGGAGCAGGGAGCATCTGGTAGAGGAGGAGGAGACAGAGGGGACACCAGCACGCAACGTAGGCAGTATGCAGTGGAGATGTAGTCAATGGAGTCCCTCGCATTGCCTTGGCACAAATTGCCCATATAGCAATGCTCGGAATTGCTTGCGTAGCGACAGCGCCGAATAATTAACCCATCAGACAGTGGGGATGACTTTTGGCTGTCCTCCTTGTTTGGAACCATCGCTACCAATTCAAAAATGGAGGCGCCTTTTTCCACTACCTGCTGAGGAGGGAGGCCAAAATAACGTAGTATAAAAACCACCTATGTAAGTCCAGTTGGTCTCTGCCTTTGTGCGCCAACGTCCATTCCTCAGACACTGTGGGCCCTGTGCGCCTCGCGTACCGCTGCCATGGCAGCAAAGGAGGGGCAGTGGGTGGTAAGGAGCTGTGGCAGCTCCACCAAGCAGCGGCTTGACCTCAGTCTGCAGTCGATGAATGAGTAATGCTTTCTTCATCACCCAGCGCAGTGAGGAAATACTACTAACCCCAGCCGCAGCAGCAGGCATCAGGTGGACCTAGGAGCATAGGACCTCAAACAACAGGCTTGGGCCTACTTTGGGACAGCAACCCTCCAACCATAGGTAGACAAATTCCCTTGACTACTGGGCATAACGAAACTTGACCTTTTTGGCCCCAACTAGCTGAATTTGCGCCCTTGAAAGGCTGTCATGCCGGCCAGTAGCGTGGCATCGGAGCGCTGTGTTTAGTGGGCGTCAGGAGGGTATAATGTAAACTCCGCGGAGGACACGACTGTCCCACACAAAGTGTGGAGATAGTCTCACGTTTGTGAAAATGAAATCAGAAGGGCGTGGAATTAGTCTGGATTACAAACCACACCAGTTTCCTTACACAACTGACTAAAAATCCGCCATGACTCATGCCCCATGCCATGTGCCACTTTCAGGTCTCCTCACACTGCTGGTGTGTTCAATTTTTTGTATAGGGTGCTGGCAGATTACGGGCCTCCCATAGCTGCTGCCAGGCCCCTAATCTGCCATGTCGCCCTCAGTACCGCCTCCTCATGCTGCTGCCAGGTCCAGAGTCTTTCATGGGTCCCTGTACGGCCTCCATTGCTGCTGTCTCCATCGCCACACTCTGGCCATGTGCCACTTTCAGGGTCTCCTCACACTGCTGTGTGTGTTCCATTTTTTCATAGGGTGCTGGCAGATTTACGGGCCTCCCATAGCTGCTGCCAGGCCCCTAATTGCCATTGGGCCCTCTGTACCGACTCCTCATCAGCTGCTGCCAGGTCCACAGTGTCTCATGCCATGTGCCACTTTCAGGTCTCCTCCACACTGCTGGTGTGATTCCAATTTTTTGTCATAGGGTGCTGGCAGATTACCGGGCCTCCCATAGCTGCTGCCAGGCCCCTAATCTGCCATGGGCCCCTATACCGCCTCCTCATGCTGCTGCCAGGTCCAGTGTCTCTCATGGGTCCCTGTACGGCCTCCATGCTGCTGTCTCCATCGCGACACTCTGCCAATGTGCCACTTTTCAGGAGTCTCCTCACACACGCTGGTGTGTTCCATTTTTTGTCATAGGGAGCTGGCAGATTACGGCCTCCCATAGCTGCTGCCAGGCCCCTAATCTGCCATGGGCCCCTGTACCGCCTCCTCATGCTGCTGCCAGGTCCAGAGTCTCTCTCATGAGGTCCCTGTACGGCCTCCCATTGCTGCTGTCTCCATCGCCACACTCTGCCATGTGCCACTTTCATGTCTCCTCACACTGCTAGTGTGTTCCCATTTTTTTGTCATAGGTGCTGGCAGATTACGGGCCTCCCATTGCTGCTGCCAGGCCCGTAATCTGCCATGGGCCCCTGTACCGCCTCTTCATGCTGCTGCCAGGTCCAGAGTCTCTCAGTGTGTCCTCCACATGTGGGTCCCTGTACTCTGCCATCCCATTGCTGCTGCCCGCAGAGGGTCCAGCAGGGGTCGCAGCATTTGTCAGTGGAGGCAAATGCCTGGGCCACGGAGTAGAGCACCAGCTCCACTGCAGATCCCTACCACCACGGCCATGTAGTGGTGCCGGTGTGCACGGAGGAAGTAGCACTGCAGCCCTACCACCCACCCAGCCAGTGCACGGAGGAAGTAGCAGTCACCGGGGGCAAAGTTTCCTACTCGGCGGTGTGGCAAATTTTCGTCAAGCCGCCCGAGGAAGTAAACGTAGCCGTAATGTCGACTATGTTGGCCAGAAAGGTCAAGCGTGGCCAGGGGGCCCATGTTGGGACTACAGCGTTGCGTCAGCATATGCAGCGTCGCCATTCGGGCCTCCCATTGCTGCTGCCAGGCCTTAATACTGCCATGGGCCCCCTGTACCGCCTCCTCATGCTGCTGCCAGGTCCACAGTGTCCTCATGGGTCCCTGAACCGCCTCCCATTGCTGCTGTCTCCATCGCCACACTCTGCCATGTGCCACTTTCAGGTCTCCCTCACACACTGCTGGTGTGTTCCATTTTTGTCATAGGGTGCTGGCAGATTACGGGCCTCCCATTGCTGCTGCCAGGCCCCTAATCTGGCCATGGGCCCCTGTACCGCCTCCTTCACATGCTGCTGCCAGGTCCAGAGTCCTCTCATGGGTCCCTGTACGGCCTCCCATTGCTGCTGTCAATCCATCGCCACACTCTGCCATGTGCCACTTTCAGGTCTCCTCACACACTGCTGGTGTGTTTCCATTTTTTGTCATAGGGTGCTGGCAGATTACGGGCCTCCCATTGCTGCTGCCAGGCCCCTAATCTGCCATGGGCCCCTGTACCGCCTCCTCATGCTGCTGCCAGGTCCAGAGTCTCTCATGGGTCCCTGTACGGCCTCCCATTGCTGCTATCTCCATCGCCACACTCTGCCATGTGCCACTTTCAGGTCTCCTCACACACTGCTGGTGTGTTCAATTTTTTGACATAGGGTGTTGCTGGCAGATTACGGGGCCTCCCATAGCTGCTGCCAGGCCCCTAATCTGCCATGGGGCCCCTGTACTGCCTCCTCATGCTGCTGCCAGGTCCACAGTATCTCATGCCATGTGCCACTTTCAGGTCTCCTCACACTGCTGGTGTGTTGAATTTTTTGACATAGGGTGCTGGTAGATTACGGGCCTCCCATAGCTGCTGCCAGGCCCCTAATCTGCCATGGGCCCCTATACCGCCTCCTCATGCTGCTGCCAGGTCCAGAGTCTCTCATGGGTCCCTGTACGGCCTCCCATTGCTGCTGTCTCCATCGCCACACTCTGCCATGTGCCACTTTCAGGTCTCCTCACACACTGCTGGTGTGTTTCAATTTTTTGACATAGGGTGCTGGCAGATTACGGGCCTCCCATAGCTGCTGCCAGGCCCCTAATCTGCCATGGGCCCCTATACCGCCTCCTCGTGCTGCTGCCAGGTCCAGAGTCTCTCATGGGTCCCTGTACGGCCTCCCATTGCTGCTGTCTCCATCGCCACACTCTGCCATGTGCCACTTTCAGGTCTCCTCACACTGCTGGTGTGTTCCATTTTTTGTCATAGGGTGCTGGCAGATTAGGGGCCTCCCATAGCTGCTGCCAGGCCCCTAATATGCCATGGGCCCCTGTACCGCTCCTCATGCTGCTGCCAGGTCCACAGTGTCTCATGCCATGTGCCACTTTCAGGTCTCCTCACACTGCTGGTGTGTTGAATTTTTTGACATAGGGTGCTGGCAGATTAGGGGCCTCCCATAGCTGCTGCCAGGCCCCTAATCTGCCATGGGCCCCTATACCGCCTCCTCATGCTGCTGCCAGGCCCAGAGTCTGTCATGGGTCCCTGTACGGCCTCCCATTGCTGCTGTCTCCATCGCCACACTCTGCCATGTGCCACTTTCAGGTCTCCTCACACTGCTGGTGTGTTCCATTTTTTGTCATAGGGTGCTGGCAGATTACGGGCCTCCTATAGCTGCTGCCAGGCCCCTAATCTGCCATGGGCCCCTGTACCGCCTCCTCATGCTGCTGCCAGGTCCACAGTGTCTCATGCCATGTGCCACTTTCAGGTCTCCTCACACTGCTGGTGTGTTGAATTTTTTGACATAGGGTGCTGGCAGATTACGGGCCTCCCATAGCTGCTGCCAGGCCCCTAATCTGCCATGGGCCCCTATACCGCCTCCTCATGCTGCTGCCAGGTCCAGAGTCTGTCATGGGTCCCTGTACGGCCTCCCATTGCTGCTGTCTCCATCGCCACACTCTGCCATGTGCCACTTTCAGGTCTCCTCACACTGCTGGTGTGTTCCATTTTTTGTCATAGGGTGCTGGCAGATTACGGGCCTCCTATAGCTGCCTGCCAGGCCCCTAATCTGCCATGGGCCCCTGTACCGCCTCCTCATGCTGCTGCCAGGTCCACAGTGTCTCATGCCATGTGCCACTTTCAGGTCTCCTCACACTGCTGGTGTGTTGAATTTTTTGACATAGGGTGCTGGCAGATTACGGGCCTCCCATAGCTGCTGCCAGGCCCCTAATCTGCCATGGGCCCCTATACCGCCTCCTCATGCTGCTGCCAAGTCCAGAGTCTGTCATGGGTCCCCTGTACGGCCTCCCATTGCTGCTGTCTCCATCGCCACACTCTGCCATGTGCCACTTTCAGGTCTCCTCACACTGCTGGTGTGTTGAATTTTTTGACATTGGGTGCTGGCAGATTACGGGCCTCCCATAGCTGCTGCCAGGCCCCTAATCTGCCATGAGCCCCTTTACCGCCTCCTCATGCTGCTGCCAGGTCCACAGTGTCTCATGCCATGTGCCACTTTCAGGTCTCCCTCACACTGCTGGTGTGTTCAATTTTTTGACATAGGGTGCTGGCAGATTACGGGCCTCCTATAGCTGCTGCCAGGCCCCTAATCTGCCATGGGCCCCTATACCGCCTCCTCATGCTGCTGCCAGGTCCAGAGTCTCTCATGGGTCCCTGTACTGCCTCCCATTGCTGCTGTCTCCATCGCCACACTCTGCCATGTGCCACTTTCAGGTCTCCTCACACACTGCTGGTGTGTTGAATTTTTTGACATAGGGTGCTGGCAGATTACGGGCCTCCCATTGCTGCTGCCAGGCCCGTAATCTGCCATGGGCCCCCGTACCGACTCCTCATGCTGTGACGTTGCAACAAGGTGGAATTCAACCCTACATATGTTAGACCGCCTTTACGAACAGCAAAAGGCCATCACAGATTTCCTGATGTTAAAAGCGGGTAAAGGTACTCCCTGTGTAACTTAGATGTCAGCCATTGGCAGCTCATGCGTGACACCTGCGCTTGCTCAGGCCCTTTGAGGAGGCCACGTTATTCGTGAGTCGGCAGGACTATGGGATGAACGACGTCATTCCTCTGTTGCACGTCCTGGAACAAATGCTGTTAACAATGGCTGGTCAGGGTGCGGTAGACGTGGCGCACAGATCTCAACGCCACATGACCCCTGTGGGGGCAGGACAGGAAGAAGAGGAGGAGGTAGAGGAGGACATTGGTGCTCAGGAATTATTGAGTGAAATGGGTGGTTTTTCCACTCAGCGGACAGGAGTGGAGGAGCAGGAGCATCTGGTAGAGGAGGAGGAAGAGGAGACAGAGGACCCAGACGCACCGTGGCAGTATGCTGTGGAGATGGAGGCAGGGAGTCCCTCGCATTCCTTGGCACAAATGGCCCATAGCATGCTCGCTTGCTTGCGTACCGACAGCCGAATAATAACCATCAGACAGAGGGATGACTTTTGGCTGTCCACCTTGTTGGACCCTCGCTACCGTTCAAAAATGGTGGCCTTTTTCACACCTGCTGAGAGGGAGGCCAAAATAACGTACTATAAAAAACCACCTATGTAGTCAGCTGGTCTCTGCCTGTCTGCGCCAACGTCCATCCTCAGACACTGTGGGCCCTGTGCGCTCGCGTTCCGCTGCCATGGCAGCAGGGGGGAGGGGTGGGGTGGTAGGAGCAGTGGCAGCTCCACCAGCAGCAGCTGCCTCAGTCTGCAGTCGATGATGAGTAGCTTTCTTCACCAGCGCAGTGAGGAAACTACTAACCAGCCGCAGCAGCAGCAGCAGCAGCAGCAGCAGCAGCATCAGGTGGACCTGGAGCAGGACCTCAAACAACAGGCTTAGGCCTACTTGGACAGTACCCTGCCAACCGAGGTAGACAATCCCCTTGACTACTGGGCAACGAAACTTGACCTTTGGCCCCAACTAGCTGAATTTGCCCTTAAAAGGCTGTCATGCCCGGCCAGTAGCGTGGCATCGGAGCGCGTGTTTAGTGCGGCAGGAGGTATTGCAACTCCGCGGAGGACACGACTGTCCACCCAAAGTGTGGAGAGAGACTCACGTTTGTGAAAATGAATCAGGCGTGGATTAGTCTGGATTTCAAACCACCAGTTCCTGACACAACTGACTAAATCCGCCATGAATCATGCCCCTGCCATGTGCCACTTTCAGGTCTCCTCACACTGCTGGTGTGTTCCATTTTTTGTCATAGGGTGCTGGCAGATTACGGGCCTCCCATAGCTGCTGCCAGGCCCCTAATCTGCCATGGGCCCCTATATCGCCTCCTCATGCTGCTGCCAAGTCCAGAGTCTCTCATGGGTCCCTGTACGGCCTCCCATTGCTGCTGTCTCCATCGCCACACTCTGCCATGTGCCACTTTCAGGTCTCCCTCACACTGCTGGTGGGTTCCATTTTTTGTCATAGGGTGCTGGCAGATTACGGGCCTCCCATAGCTGCTGCCAGGCCCCTAATCTGCCATGGGGCCCCTATACCGCCTCCTCATGCTGCTGCCAGGTCCAGAGTCTCTCATGGGTCCCTGTATGGCCTCCCATTGCTGCTGTCTCCATCGCCACACTCTGCCATGTGCCACTTTCAGGTCTCCTCACACTGCTGGTGTGTTCCATTTTTTGTCATAGGGTGCTGGCAGATTACGGGCCTCCCATAGCTGCTGCCAGGCCCCTAATCTGCCATGGGCCCCCGTACCGACTCCTCATGCTGCTGCCTGGCCCGTAATCTGTCATGGGCCCCTGTTGTCGCTTGTTGGCATATTCCGCTCGTTCAGATGCTCCTTCTCCTGCTACTCCTCTTCACGGATTCCGTCAGCAGTCTTTCTTGGAATCCGTTTCCAAGAGACAACAGTTTGCGAGCACGCACCGACGGTGCAGAAGCTGAACGTCCTCCTGTCCAAGTTGCTGCTGCCAGGCTCGTAATCTGTCATGCGCCCCTGTACCGCCTCCTCATGCTGCTGCCAGGTCCAGAGTGTGTCATGGGCCCCCGTACCGACTCCTCATGCTGCTGCCAGGCCCGTAATCTGTCATGGGCCCCTGTACCGCCTCCCCATGCTGCTGCCAGGTCCAGAGTGTGTCATGGGTCCCTGTACGGCCTCCCATTGCTGCTGCCAGGCCCGTAATCTGCCATGGGCCCCCGTACCAACTCCTCATGCTGCTGCCAGGCCCGTAATCTGTCATGGGCCCCTGTACCGCCTCCTCATGCTGCTGCCAGGTCCAGAGTGTGTCATGGGTCCCTGTACGGCCTCCCATTGCTGCTGTCTCCATCGCCACACTCTGCCATGTGCCACTTTCAGGTCTCCTCACACTGCTGGTGGTTTCCATTTTTGTCATAGGGTGCTGTATGGCCTCCCGTTGCTGCTGCCTCCACCGCCACACTGTGGCTCCACACTCTGAAGAACGGACATTCTGGGTATGTTTAGCGTATCAAATGGTCATATTTCCTTTGTACACTTTCAACCAGTCATATGTATTGAGTGTAGTTATTTGTACTTGATGAGGGTATCTTGATATGGGTTTCAGAGGGGTTATAGGATAAAATGGCTAATGGTGATATTGGGAATACCCTTGCTGATGCTAGAGCGTTCACGCCTAATCACCAACGGCCCATTGTCACGACTTTTTTAGTCCTCACGGAAAACCGATATGTAGGCCAGCTTGAGTTCTGGTGACATAGCCTAAACCCTTCTGCGTGACCTAAGCCTGATTCCCTGACTTCCGATGTAGTATGAACAAGACACACCTGGATTAGAACTCTATATGACTGTGTTTATGGTGTCTTAATATCAACGATTTGTATAAGCAATGGTTTTTTTCCCTGGAGATTACATACTTTATAATCCCTGAGATGTCTTGGAATGAGCTTTTACGCTCCCTTTCTATTAGCTACAATGTGACACTATGGGAATACTCATATATGATCGTTTTATACTTAAGATATATAACGGGTCCTTAATGTCTCCCGGAATGGGCCACTCCTAGATGTTCCCATTGGATTCTCTACTAATAACGCCCACGTTCCTATGTGTCCATCCTTGAGCTCTTATATATATGTATACATATAGATATTTATGTGAATATCGATGCGGGGTAGACAGTGCATTAATATGATGCTTCTGCATCTCCTTCATTTCCACTACAAATATGGGCTCTCCCAAATGATACTCCGATCTCCTTCACATGAATAATAGTTTCAGACAAGTTACATACCCCCAACTTACTCATAGACCAGGTAGTGTCCCAGTGTCTCAGCTGTAAGACAAGGGCCCTTCGTGTTGTTGTTCACGCCCATGGTGTATTTTAGGATGTTAAAATGTGACCTACGCTATCATTGACTTTGACCAGTGCTCACATTGGGCCATGGATTTTAAGTACCTTCCTTTCAGTAAGCCGCCCGTGGTTGGTAAACGTAAGATTAGTCTACACTTATTAGCAGTAACATGCTGAATAACGCAGATTCCCTTGATTAGGATTTACACCTACAATGTTGTTTGGAAATTGGTTCCACGGAATGGATGGCCTATGGCCGGCATCCCGGAATATTCAAGGTAATATTATCGTTGTATCCTTACAGTGATTTACGTATAGTTGGTATTCTTACTCGAAACTAATACAGTTAATGATGATCTTTGTATAGTGATATGATTGTTAGTTATAAATGATTCCTTGTTGGTTATAGGAATTGAATACTTAATTACTACATAACTACATTTACTACATTATTACATAACGTTGAACCTGTGCTTGTTTATTATTTTACGAGGTATGAGGATGCTTCATTTTATTGATTAGCACAATTTTAATATCTACCCACATTAACGTACTTACAATCCACTACTTAGGAACTCTCCTTAACGACTTACCTATTGCATATTCCTCATTTTGTATCCGCTCCTGTAAAGATTGCTATTGGCCCTCGTGCTCATCCGCAATGCTTTAGCTTATATATCTTTATAGCTTTACACATATCATTTGCTATCCACCTTCCTTCTTCTGCTACCCTCGATACACATTAGCTGCCTCCCACGTGTCTCTGTGTGTCAAGACCATCTTATGTTGGTCAAAGTCCTTTGCATACCTCTCGTTGAGGATACATAACCTTCTCACGATTATATTACACGTTCACAATACGGCCGTCTCTGGGTTCGACACAACTCCAAGTATAATTTCTTATGCTAGTACACAGTTTTACAATTTATTAGAGCTTTATTGAGAGATAGAGTAGCTGGACTACATCTTCTCTGGAGTTCAATATGTAAAAGAAGTTGAAGGAACATTTAAACGTTACATATATATGGGTTTCTATGTGACACGCCTGACACTTCTTCCTTTCTCTCTTCCGTTCTTCTCCTATATATCTATTATCTATATTCCTACCTTGACACGACTTTATTCTAGTTTTTCCTATTAGATCCCACCCCCCCCCCCCCACTTCTTTTTTTTTTTTCTCTCTCTCGCCTTACCTACAACCATTTGATACACCAATAGACTCCGAATAGATATCTTTGGCATACAAAATAATGGCTACTAACCACACATTTGCACGTTCAGTCCCCACACTCTCTGTGGCCTCTCTCAATGCTAAGGGCTTAAATATACCCGAGAAACGCTTGCAAATTCTAACTTATATGAAAACCCTTAGAGCAGACGTGCTCTTTATCCAAGAAACTCACTTTCGATCAGACCACATACCTAGATTTTCGGACGCTAACTTTCCAAAGGTATATCATGCAACCAACACGGAGGTGAAAGCAAAAGGTGTATCTATTCTACTCTCTAAGCAGCTCCCGTTTACAATCACTGAATCTCTCGAGGACCCTGAGGGGAGGTTCCTCTTTCTCAAAGGCACCCTCTATAATAAACCACTTACTCTAGCTAACATTTACAGTCCCAATACTGCACAAGTATGCTTTTTTTGCAAAATCGCCAAATTACTTGCCACATTTCAATCAGGTATTCTGATTCTTGGAGGCGACTTTAATGTAGCTTTGAACCCATTGGAGGATACTTCCACTGGTTTCTCCTCTAAACCCTTCAAAGCACTCAGACAGATAAAACTCGAGCTACATGATCTTCTCCTACATGATACCTGGCGCACTCTCCACCCTAAAGACAAAGACTACACGTTTTATTCCACACCACATAAGCGCCATTCTAGAATTGATTATTTATTTCTTTCTCAGAAAGATTTACATAACTTAAAATCAGCTTCGATCGAACCAATGATCTTATCTGACCACCACCCAATTATGATGACCCTACAACTCCCTGATGCACCAGTTACGTCCAAAACGTGGAGATTAGATCCCTTCCTTCTTACAGATTCCTCTGCCACACTCCAGATCCGTGATTCTTTGACCAATTATTTTAAAGAAAACACATCTCCAGAAACAACCCCTCTCATACAGTGGGAAGCACACAAATGTGTAACCCATGGGCTTCTTATGTCTATCTCCGCATCGCAAAAACGTCTAGCTCAAGCAGCTTTTACCTCCCTATTGCAAAAAGTTTGTACGCTGGAATGCACACATAAACGCTCTAAAGCTTTGAATTCTGCATCTGAACTAGACCAATTCTAGATATTGTAGACAAAAAAGCCAAACGTAACTTTACTCTTCAACAAAAACTTTTTTATGAACATGGAAATAAGAGTGGCAAGTTTCTAGCCCGGGCCTTACAAGCTAAAAAGGCAGCTCGACACATCCACCAGCTTACTTCCAAGCAGGGACACTTATTGAAAACATCAAAGAATATTGCAGCTGAATTTGAACACTATTATTCCGCTCTATACAATTTACCTGTACCATCTAAACCACCAGGTGACACTAGGTCACGTAAGACAATTATTCAGACCTTTCCTGAACCGATATCTCCCAAACCCGATTTCTAGATCACAAGCGAAAGACTTAGATGGAGTTCTGACCCTGACGGAATTACAACAAGCTATCTCACAATTGAAACCTGGCAAAAGCCCAGGTCCCGACGGATTTGTCACTTCCTACTAAAAGACTTTTGACGACATACTGGCACAACCATTTTTGCGGGCCTTTAATACTTTAGATACACCGGGGCAGCCCTTGCACCATCTTTCTGAGGCACATATTACGGTTATAACAAAAGAGGATAAAGACCACACATCACCAGCGAATTACCGCCCGATCTCTTTATTGAATGTTGATTTAAAGATCTTTGCAAAAATTTTAGCCAATCGCCTATTACATATTATAGATCCCATTGTATCAACGGACCAAGTGGGCTTTGTACCAGGGAGAGAAGCCAGAGATAACACTATAAGGGCCATAAACGTTCATCATTGGTTAACTCAAAAGCAACAATCAGGCTTCTTCTTATCATTAGATGCCGAGAAGGCCTTTGATAGGCTAGCATGGGAGTATATGGAGGCTGTTCTGCTT